CTGTTTCCTGACGTGCCATCCAGAAAGCAGCTTTCCCAATTTTGCCCGAACTTTCTGAAACGATTTGCATGTGAGATGAGACAAAGCGTGGATGCTGGCTGCCTGGGGATGGCGGGATTCGAGGGAGCTTCAGTGTGCAGGACCCTACGGGGCTGGGCTGCCCTCCCACCCCTCCATCTGATCTGCTGATTATTTTGCACCATTACCTAGCTGCTTCGGCAGCTGTTTTGGGGCTATTTACACCTTTTCTCCCTCCCTCTGCAGGTAAATCCAGTAGGATCAAATCCTGCCTGACCCTGGAGGGGAGTGAACACCCCGCTGTCCTCTCAGGCAGCTCACTGTGGCCCCTATAGCCGTGCTCGTAGGCCATAGGGGATGTGGTGGGGGGTGTGTGGCTCCTGCACCGGGCGAACTGGGAAAGGAAGAGCCTGGGTGTTGTGAGATGCTCGGGGCAGAGCTGGATGCACAGTGTCTGTACCAGGTCTCCAGTAGGGACCTGGGGTCCCTGTTGGTTTGCACGGCTCTCCTAGGTGCCAGGCACCAGCCCCAGTGCTGGGGCATGAAGGAGGGCAGGATCTGTCCCCGATGGACTTGTGAGATGGTGGCCAATGTCTCCGCTGGCTGGGAGAGAGCTCCAGCTAAAAACGGTGTTTGGGGACACGTATGCGTGCTGAGCAGCGGGGAGACACCGTTCCCATCCCAGCGCTGCCGGCGCATCCCAGCTTCTGCATTTGTTGTTCTCACCGCTTGACTTGGGGGTTCCCAATGGGTCCTTGTCACCTCCAAATACTCATCCTTTCTCCCTGGGTGTGGGGCTGGGGAGCCCCATCAGGCAGCCACATGCTCATTCCCTATTTTTCCCTCTTCATCCTTGGCTCCACCATCCAGCTGGGGAGCATAAATCGGCTCCCGTGGCCGGGCTGGCCTTGGAGCTGGTGTGAAAACCCCGTCAGCCTGACAGAGGATGGTGTTTGGATCCGTTCGAGTTCAAAACCTCCTGTTTGCTGATGACACGCAGAAATAATCTCTCACTTGGCATCCGAGCAGCAGTTTGGGTTATTTGTTTGGGGTCTGGCTCCTGGCAGTGAATAACAAGCTGCTGCCGATGCTCTGTCTGCAAGTGTGTTTCGCTGAGTGAATGGACGGGCTCTAAAACCTGCTCTTTCAAACCAGATTAATCGCATTAGGCTTTGTCAATGCAAAAATTACCTCATCATTGGCACTGGCAGGTGGTGTAGAGCAGCAGACTTATTCAATATTTAAGAAAGCTGCATTGCAGAGCTGAGAAGGCTGGAGAAATAGGTTGCCTGTGTCAGTGTCTTTGCTGGTGGAGACGATCTCTGCAGGCACCGCCAAGTGTGAAATGTTGAGCTCGCTGTAAAAACCCGATTATTGCACTGGGAGTCTTTAAAATACTGAATTTTCTGTTTTCTACCCTGGTATGTTATTTCCAGATGGCTAAACCGGTGTGTTTGGGCAGCCCAGTAATGGTCTCTCGTTGCAGATGCCTGGTTGGTGGTGGCACTGTGGGTGCCTCTGGGTGGCTTCGGGTCCTGCCCTGGAGCACCTGCTGCCCCGTGTCCCTCCTGGTGCCCGTGGGGCAGGGCGGGCTGACGCCACGGGGCTCCTGCTGCCTTTCCCTGCTCACCCAGGGCTGGTGGAGGGTGAGGGGGACCTGCCGGGTGCTGACGCTGCCTTTGCTGGATTTCGGGTGCTGGCGATGGGCCCGTGAATCGGCACCTCTTGGCTCGGAGCGAGCGGCGTCGGCAGCTCGGGGAGAGGCAGAGTGATTCAGGGAAGGCGTTCAATCCCTTTTTGTGAGGGCACGATCTGACTCGTGGGCTCCGTCATACAAAAGTAATGGAGCGGCGCGATTAGAGTCACGTGGCTCTTCCTTAAGGCCAGAAATTAAGACCTCGCTTCTATTCCTGGCTCTGCCTGGGACACGCCGCCTTCGCGCCGGCGGGAGCTGCCACCTCGCTCCTCCCGACCTCCGCTCACCATCGGGGAACCTCGAGCGGCCGATGCCGTGCGGGGACGAGAGGGCTCCTGGCATCCCTGCTGACGGCAGCCCCGGGGGGAGCAGGTCCAGGGCCCCACTGGGGACAACCAAACCCTGGAAGGTCTTGGCATCCTCCTAGGATGGGATATTTCCATTTCATTAACGAAATGCTGCCGCATCCCATCGATCATGGCTTGGATTGCCACATCCTTTTGCTTGTGAGCGAGGATTTTGGCAGGGGGGTGGCGGGGGGAAAGCCACTGTAAGCTGTTATTTTGTTCTTTACCGTGTGCTAAAAATGCAGAGCCAAGCATTAGGACAAGCAAGAGTAGTTGCTGGAAGTAATGCAAAGTAGATCTTCAAAATCTATTATTTATAGGCGGAGGGAAAGACTTGTGTATTCCTCCAGGAGCTGTCCCCAGGCTCTTCTCCATCCGCAACAAAGCAAAACACCCGCGGCCTCTCTATTATTAGCAGAAAGTTCTAGCTGGGAGAAGGAATTTTCCTCCCCGCTGGCTCAAGTGCCAGTTCTCGCTCTACCCTCTTTGCTAGGGGAAAACCAGTGATTCCCACCCCCCGTTCTTTGCACGGCCACTCCTGCTCCATGCGACCTTGGGCAAGTCTCTGGTCCACCCGCATCTCCCCCAAAATGGGTGCTGGCGGCACGGCGCTGCCCTTCCTCCCAGGGCACCCCATTAAGTCCGCATCCAGCCCAGCGAGACCCCCCTGTTCCCGGCTCTGGAGGGGGCCCTACGTCCCCAGCAGGGCTTTGCTGCTGCAGTGCAGATTGTGGAGGTGGCGGTGGGGGCTTAAATGAAACATTTGCCTATTTA